TCCAATTGTAAAAATATTTAAAGATTACAATTAAATTATAATATTATGAAAAAAATCACTTAAAAATAAATTTTTGTGTACTTGTTCAGCTATAGATACACGTTCAGCCACTGGTACGTTTACCTTACGAACTTTTTAACAGTTCTGTTGTATTCAGGAGATCAAAATCTATCAAAAACACTTTTATTTTTCTTACACCTTTGAGGATCAAAATCGGCCCTTTTTTTTTAACGTCTTTCTTTAATGTGTGGCTTTGATAATAATTTTATATTTTTACATACATATATTTATAACATATAAAAAATAAATATAAATACGTGGTCTCAAAAGTAATGAATTAATTCTGGAAAAATCGTTTTATTGAAAATACACTTAATATTTTTCAAAGTAGGATCCTTGAGTGTCAATACAGCGGTTCCAGTGTTGCTGCCACTCTTCGTAGCAGTGCAGGAAGTCTTGACCGGACATGCTTTTCAGAACACCCGTCGCGGCTGTTTAGACATCTCATCAGAGTGCTCTGGAAGATCAAAACTTCCTGCGCCGCTATGAAGAGTGGCAGCAACGCTGGAATTGTTGTATTGACGCTCAAGGATCTTACTTTTAAAAATATTAAGTGTATTTTCAATAAACCGGTTTTTCCAGAATTAGCCTCATCATTTTTGGGACATACCATGTATTTTATTTTAAAAATTATAAATTAATTATTTTAGGAAATATACAGAATAAAGAACGATAAGGGATGGGTGGATACTCCACCAGAAGCCCCTCTTTTTTCAATAAATGGCAGCAGTTATATCGCAATAAGTCCTGTGGATGATGGACCAGCCGGATTTTACAAGCATATAATTTGGGCTAATGTGCTCCGAAAACAAGTAGTGCCTTTGACGCATGGAAAATTTGAAGTCGTTAGGATTTTAGTATGGGACCAAACAAATAATACTATGTGAGCAATCTATTAAATTAATTAATAATCTATTAAATTAATTTACAATATAACATGGTAAACAATTTGCATTTTAACCAGATATTTCATCGGTATTCCATTTATGAGACCGGGTCAGAGACACCTCTATCGTGTAAGTTCTACTCTTCCTCCTACGGGATCGCCTTTGCGTCCTGCTATATGCCTCACATGCACTATCTCATCTGACACGACAAACGATGAAGGTGAACATCGAACTAGTTCTTCAAATTGGCAGAATGGACTTCCCATTCGAAATGAATGGCATGATGATCATTATGAAATTCATATCGACAATATTAACAACAAGGAACATCGTCAAGCAAAGGATATCTCTAAAAAGGACAAGTTGAAAAATAGGAATGTTTTAAGTGAGTACCAATATTATTTTCTATCTTATTTTATTTTACTTGAAAAGTTTAAAACTTACTATAATATTTAGGAAAAATATATTATATAATAAATAAAAATATAATTGATACTTATTGTTAGTTAAAAAATCTATTTTGAATCAAAATATATGTAGTATATCAATTTAATACATGATATAAGAACTTGAATATGTTTATAAAAGAGGTACTTTTTTCTTAAAAAAATGTCATAATTTGAAAGAAGAAAAGGTTTTCTAGAGAGATTGTACCATGGGAAGGCATATTCGTGATCGTTTTAAACTTTGTTTTTACAATATAAAATACATTTACAATATAATAGTTATTTATGCATCAAGGGAAGGAAGGCCGTCTTTCAATGAGGAGGCTGATGTCTTTGGAACGAAGAGTAGGCTCGTGCGCGCTCGCGCGCACGAGCCGTATCTGAGTTTCGAAGACATCAGCCTGTCCAGTGACAAGCGGCATGTTCCTTCCCGTGGTGCATACGTAATTTTATATTCTAAGTGCATGTATTCGGTGCTATTCGTGCATTCAAAAAAAGAGTACCTCACGAGTAACATTTAGTATACTACCCATGTAGAATAACTTGACTCACCAGATGGCGTCGTTACGTCGTCGTTTTA